TGTATAGCAGGAGTTCGGGGTAAGGGAATACTTTTGGCCCTCCATTGTGATGTATGGGGTTGGAAAACTGCACATTGCTGAATCTTTTCACAGAATGCAAATTTTCTCACTTTCCTAATCATCATCATTTCACACTGTGATGAAATGACTCCCATTTAAACAGTAGAAGGGATGAATTGTGGGATTCGTGATTGATACTGGATAGAATTACGTAGTACATTACTATTCTTTTAATAATAATAAAATAAAAATTAGCATATGCAAAACAGCAGAATGATTTATAACCATGAATGTTATCTAGTCACAGCATATAGTCTGAGGTACTATGAGAAAATAAATAAAAATGGAAAAGAGTTTAAAGAGCTGAAATTCTAGAATATTATTTCTAGGACCTTGGTTTTCTACGGCATATTAAAATTACTATAAATACATTTATAGTCTGAGTGAATAGAACTTGACCTTATGTTCCAGATTTTTTAAAATTGTTTTTCCCAATTTACAGTAAATATGCATAATAAAAATGCATACGAAAGATAAAAATGGCTGCTGCTATGACATTTTTACTGCCGCATTATTGTTCACAGAAATTTCCTTTTCATTTTCCATCTAATTAATATTACAAGCTCGAAGACTTCAGAGGATCCCTGCTGTTCTTTCATTGATTGCAAACTACTGCTATATTGCCAGTTACAAGAATATTGAATTGAGAGAAAAACAAAATTACTAGGAGTGCAAATGAAAAGCTAGATATGCAATAACATCCTAGATTAAGTGATGGCTTTTGTAATAAAATGATTTTTAAAAATGCACTTCTAAAATTAAAATGCACTTCTAAAATTAAATTCTTACATTTTTTTAGCTAAGGAAATGAGTGACAAAACATTGACTCTAATAACTACATGTTCTTCATTCTAAATTTATGTACTGTTGATTTCCAAACCAGAAGAATATGTTTATCCTTTTCCCACTACAAATACTAAAACTAACCCTTTTGAGATAAAAAACATGGTTGTATGAACCTTAATAATAAGCTTTATTTTTAAAAAACTCAGAAACATTCCCAAATTCTTCTCAAAAAAGGAAAAAGCCTGACTCTTGTCAATGTCTGCAAGTGTACTTACTTGCATCACCCCATTTTCTCAAAAATGTTAAGTCTGCCCCCTGATTTGCCATTTGTTTGCTTACTTTTTTCATACTTTTATGTTGTAAGTGTCCAAAGTCATTCTGGATGGAACAATGTCAGAGTTATATTACAGAAATAAAAGTATGAAAGAGAGTAAATATATTAGGAAAATTTCATATGGAGAGATAATATCTTTGTCTTGAAATCCTGTGGTGTAAACCTGCATGTAAAGGCTTGCCATTTTCCAGAGCATCAGTGATATGTATAGACTGCTTGAACATGGTCCATTTTATTATTTGAAAAAAACCATAATAAGAAAATGCAACCAATTATATACAGCAGTCAAGATTTAATTATACTGAATTGATTAATATTTACATTACCTTGTGCGGAAAAATAGTGTTTTGGCTGAGTGTATCCATGCATGTAACTAGATAAGATCCAGACCAAGATAGGCTCAGGGCCAAACAGGCTGTAGTGGACCCTCTGTTTTGCACCCAATATAACATACATTTGCCTACAGAAATATATTAATTAGAGCTATATTTATACAGCAATTATCAGGAACAATTCATACTAATATAAAAGAAATGGTGGGTGTTAAAGCAGAGATTCTCCTGGCAGAACTGCTGCTTCTGTCAAAAACCAAAACTGCTTGGCTTTAGAGCCATGAAGCACAGGACAGAGAATTTTGAAAATGCAAAGACAGCAGGTTTAAACTGCTGCAGATAAAATGAGGCAACTACAACCTCATGCTAACAAAGGGCAATCATTTCTTTAATATGGTTGTAGCCCACTTTGCAGATATGTTAAAAGTTCTGAGAGACTTCTGTTGAATGCAAGTTTAGCATACTAGTTAAATAAAATTGAAAACTTGGAGATTTACAGTAGTCAGGGAAACTGATATGAATCTGCTGTCCTGGAAGTAAAAGACTAATAGTTTGCTAGTGGTACAAAACAAACATAAATGTAATACTAAAATCAGCAATACAGTGGCACACATTGAAGAATGGATTTTGAAACTGACTGAATTAGCAGAGATGGCGAAGTTAACTGGTTATTATTAAAGATAATGGACTAGACAGTTTTATAAGAGACTGGAAACCATATGTGGACTTTCTCTGTGCTAAATATAAACAGATGGTTAACAGAGATTTGAAGATTAGTGTAACCTATTGACTGCTTTTTCTTCTTTTTCTTCTTTCTTCATGTATGTATGTATGTATGTATGTATGTATGTATGTATTTATGTAAGAGAATTTACTGCTTTTTCTTTTTTTTTTTAGCACCCAGCCAGGGTGTTAACATTTAAATTTATTTAAAATTATTTAAATATATCTTAAATGTTAAATTTATTTGTTTACTTTCTTCTCTTTTTTTCATACACCATTTTTTTCTTTGTTGTTGTAAGGGTTGAATGTATGCTTTTGTTTCATCTTGTTTGTTTGTTTGTTTTGTATTTTACTTTTTATGATAAAACAATGAATAATGAAAATAAAAAAAAAATACAGTGGCACAGGAAACACAGGTGCACACAGACACAAAGAGAAAGAACTACAGCTGAAGTCATTACCTAAGTGATAATAATCAAACAGGAAAGGAGAGAGATGCCCCCAAAGATATAAAAGATTTGCCCTTGACATTTTGTTGGAGAGCTGGATTAACCAATGCCCTTTTCTATTCCTTGATGACATTGAATCAGTTATTGTCTTTCATCACAATCTGTTTCATTGCATTGATTCAAGGAAAAAAATAAGTCCTTCAAATTCTGAGGGGAAGCACAATTTAGTTATAATGAAATTAAGTAAAAAATGATATGACCAGAAAAATGTAATTATCTTAAATTGTATGGTGGTTGAGTAAACCTTGATATTAATATGGACAAGACAGGATCTCCACTGGACATTTTTCTATTAGTCAGATGACAGTTTTCCAAAATGCAATTGTCGCCTAAATCTACTGCCAATGTTCATTCACTTTATAACAACACTTGAATGATCATGTATATTATGCAACATACAGCACTGTAAAGTCTAGTTTATATAAAAGTCTAAATTTTCATCTGTTAATGTGCACAGGTTCCAATCATCACAGATAACTCCTGCTTGATTATAAATCTTCATTTACCTGTCCCGATCTTTATTAATGACAAAAAATTATGCAACAAATAATAGCTACAGTATCTACTCAGAATAAGTTCTAAAGAGTTTACATAAAGCAAAGATATGAAGGATTACAATATTATGTAGGTATCTGTGTGGGAGAGACAGCTCAATTTTTGTTAAATAAGATGTCATCTCAGATCACTGTGAATGCGGTTACAACTTAAATTTGTCTCCTCTCTTCACTTTCCCCCTCCCCTCCCCTTTCCACTCCTTATTGCTATATTATCCATAATTTTGCACACTCCAAATATATTTACCTAAAGGCATTAGAAAAGAACAATAATTTAATATATTAACTGCCAGTATAACAATACTGGAATCTACATCACAATGGGAACATACAGTACACCATTCTTGCTATTCCTCTCAGCAATGTGGGCACAACAACACTGGTCAAATTTTGCACAGTTGGTTAATTGTTAGATTAATGTTTCAGCTCCAGTTCCCATTCTTCACAAATAATACAGTAGACTTTTATTTTGATTGGTAGGATGTAAAAATACATTTACAAATTTAGTTAAGAATTTTTTGGGTAATAGTATGAAATAAAATACTCTATTCATAGCTATTCACTTGTACCTTGAGACAAAATATGCTACTTTTTCAACTAGATTAGTTATAGTTACAGTTGGTACAGTTCATTACAGTTACTTCTACAATCAAAACTGCTTACTATGAACAATAATGATTAAATTTCCTCAGCTAAACATGCTGAAAGGCAGAAGCAGAATGAAAACCATTAAGTTTATTGAATATCTTGACTATGAATTAGGTTATTGGAGAAGCTAAACAATTAACGTGCATATTCAGTTTCTGTGGAAATGTTCAGAAATAAGACAGTAACAAAATTATCTCTTACTCAAAATCCAAGCAAAAGGGAATTCATATTGCATAGAGAGAAAAGAAGACATCTAAATGTCTCCTGTGATTAAAAGATTAGAAGTGTAATTTTGTTCTGAAATTTATGGAATTTGTAGCATTATCTGTATGTTGTGGGGTTGGCTGTGTGTTTGAAATCATCATGAATCAATCCAATAAAGACTCTGAAAAACTGCAGATAGAAAACCTTTTTTGCAGAGTAAACAAATATAGATGGAAGCAGTATTGTGTAAAGTAATGTCCAAATTAATGTATCTTTCTTACTAATCTTTACTGGTTTCTCTTGACAGGAAAAAAGATTCATGGGGTTAAAAGGAAAATCAGGACATTTTAAAAGCTGTTGGAAATTTTTTTCAGCAAAACAGTGTTTATTTTTGTTTTATGACAGCAGTTTTTTAAAAACATGGCAATGAAGTGTAGTTAACAATGACAGAGTAATCTACATGGTAAATATCAAGAGGAATCAGAATTTTTTCATACTACTGTAACAAATTTGTTTTTAAAAGATAGATGTCATGAGCAATTTAATCTGATAAATTGTTTGTGACTTTTAATAACATTTGTTAGTTTGAAAAGGGACTACCAGACTCCTCCTAATTTTGGACTAAAGCAGCTCTTGTCCTACAAGCAAATGGCATTGATCCATGCGATTACCATCTGACATTTCTTTAATATGACAATTGAAAAAGCAATCAGTTTAAGGGTAAAGAAAGAGATACCATCAGTATATGGCAGAATAGTAATTGCATCAAGCAATATTGAGCCATTGAGTGAAATTACAGTTGATCCATTGGCTTAAGTGTGGGTGGAAGATGGATTATTTTGCAGGTATAAAAGAAAAGCACAGGGTTTATCCTTTCCTAGCTTTGTCAGACAAGCTGCAGCTAAGCATCCAAAACTCTCTTTCATACCCTTAAACAACAGGACTCTTGTGAAAAAAGAAAGGTAATATTATTTGTTAACCCTGTACAGTATCTATCTCTAATTTATTTATTTTATCCTGCCTTTATTATTTTTATAAATATATGTATTATTGATTTATTTAGAATATCAAATGAGCAAATGTTTGTAACATCTCATATGGTTAACGTTGAAAAATTGCTGTTATTTCTTACTAAATTAGTATGTCATAGATACATTGCCAAAATGCCCTGATGCCCACAAAGTTTCCCCCTTGACTTCCATTAAGTTTCTTCCCCCCCCCACATGTTTTATTTATTTTATTTATACAACATGTAAAAATCAATTTCAATCAAATAGTGTGTTGTCTGGGTACAATTATTTTTAAGCTATCATAATCAAAATGTTTACAATGATATTCATCACAATAATATTAATACTATAATAACAATAATGTTTAACTTAAAGTCTCCTTTTAACATTTGTCCTGCATTTATATCCCCATATTTCTAAATTCTGTTTTTATTATCTAACCATTGGTAAAATAAGTCCCATATCAAGAAATATTCAGTTTCTTCTTTTTCCTTAATTGTAAGCGTTAATATATCCATTTCTGCATGTTCTAATTTTTTTTAATTACACTCTTATCTGTCGGGATCTCATCATTTTTCCATTGTTGTACAAAAATAATTCTGGCTGCAGTTTATACACGTAAAATTGAATATATATTCCTTTTATCATACTTTTACAGCAGGATGCCCAATAAGAAATTTATGGTTTCAAATTTATATGTTGCAGCCAGGAAACATTTGTAGGATTTCAATGTTTGTTACTCACATTATTTCACATACTTTCCTGTCATAGCAACTGCATAGATTTTATTTGTAAACCAGAAGCCAAATGAACACAAATATAGATTCTGAAACCACCAGACAAGGTGGGGTTCAAAAGCTGTTTGTGTTATTTCTTTTTTTTATATGAATTGGGACTGAGCAGATTTTTGTTATTCTGGGATAACTCATGAGCGAGGTTTGGATTGGATGGTTTTCTATTCATTCTCCTCTTAAAAGTGAATAAAAAAGGATTAATAACAATTGGTCCATTATATTTCTGCATTTCTAGATGTATAGAACCGAAGATAATTAGAAAATATCTAAATGCTAGTAATCTGAAAGAACTCTAGATAAGGTGGAATCAATCTGACACCAGGAAAGATCTGCAGTTTAAATATTTTCATTAGTTTATCAAAATGTAAAATACAAAAATACAAAGAAAAATGAAGATAATGGGAAAATAAGGGAGGAAAGGGGTAAGAGAACAAAATGTAGGGGAAAGGGGAAAAAGAAAAAGAATTGACTTCTGACTCCATCTGGTGCAGAAGAATAAGGTAGTAACATAAAACCTCAACTTTTTACTTTTATATAATAATATGCACTAGCCATTTCTGTAACAACAAACCTATCTAAATCAGCAAAATCCAAAATCAAATTTTCATTCCCCCCCGCCCCCCGCCCTCATAAGCAAAAGTCCAAAAGTAGTTTCCAAGTAGAAGTGTCCAGGAAAGATTTGCAGATTCAACTAGTAGCCAATAACTTCTGCATCTTTTCCTAATTTAGGTACAGATTGTATTTCATATGGCTACTTAATGCATGAAGTAGGGGGCGTGCATAAGCGCACCATCGTGCCTACCGTCCCTGTCCTATTGTTTCTCTTATTCTTTTATTTTTCTTATATGTACCCATTTCATGTATTCACAACTATGTATACACTTATACTTATTATCTTGTAAACAATTGGCAAATCAAATAAATAAATAAATAAAATAAATAAATAAAGTGTGACAAACATAGGTGGGTCAAGTAGGTGCTACTCTGATCATGGCTTAATTGCAATTGCAAGTTAAGGGCTTTTCAAGTTGAGGAGCAAAATCAAGAAGTAATTTAGAGCCCTCGGATGACACTTTAACTGGGGACTTACCATATCCAAGAGAGCAACATTAAATATTCACAATACAAATCAAGAAATAAGAAATAAATGTATAAAGCTCACTCAATATCTCTACCAATTACAGGGGTTTTTTTGCTTTCATTTTAGAAGAAGCAATAATTTGTCATTGCAGAAGCACTTCCATTTTGCTATTTTATATTGGTCAGTTACTGATATATAATTTTATTAAGGATTTTTATTACAGTAATAAAAATCTTGTTTTTATTAGTAAAACAAAAACTAAATTTAAAGAAACAGGATAACAAGAAAGAGTAAAGTGTAAAAAATATGATAAAGAAAATATATATATAAAGAAGTGACTTCCAATATTCACCGTAATGATTATAAACAAATTTAGTAATTATTTACTCCCCATAAGATTACAAGCAGATATAATCTCATATCTCATTCCTTATTTTTAAGAAAATTCACAAGACATCAACTTTTCAATCCTAATATCAGCAAAAAGTTCGTAAGTGATTGCCACAACTTTGCAATAGTCTTATTGTAAGTTTAATCAAATAAACCAACTTTATATTCTTTCCTTTCACTTCTAACAGTCTTCATCTTTAGTTCATTCAAATTTTGCCATAAGATTTCTCTTCAATTCTTTATCTCTTCATACACATTTCTACAAGGATTTAACAAGCTTTTTTTGTACCTTCGCTCAATTGAAGCTTACAAAGAATCAAACAGATATGAGGGTTGTAATAATATGTAGATACAAAAGAAACTGGCTGAAGTTCTAAAAATCAAAAAGAAATGCAAATGACAAAACAAATGTTTTCTTATCACCAGCATTGCAAAAAGTCCAGGTCTTGCTTGGCTCAGGTTAACAACAGTCTGCAGAGTAGTGGATGCTGACAGAAGAAGCTGGAAATGCAGCAAACATGGAGATACAGCAAGCAGCATCTGGCCAACTGACATTGAACCACAGCACAACAGGGAGCAATCCACGTAAATCCCCCAAAGTGACTAGTATATCTTCCTCTGACCTGTTCATCTGGTCCATCTCCAGATGCCTTTCTCAGCAATCTGGCATCCCAGCACAGCCTGCATACAGTCTAATGCCGCCAACATTCTGTCTGAAAATGCCAGGTTACTTGCTTGTCCATTTCTGATCAGATGAACCCTGCTCTTCTAATCTCAGAAACCAAACTAACCCAATTACTACCCATTTCTCTATCTACTTAAAATATAGATTATTTTGGTTGATTGTGCACCCTTGGTTATGGTGACATTTAAAGAGAGTTTGATTGGTTCAATTCAGGCTAACCAATGTTTCATCTTGAATGAGAAGATTTCTAACAGTGGCATCCTAGGTTTAGACATAAGGCTCTTCAATTCGGTTTCCTTGATAAGTATGTGGAGATTACAGCTACTATATAAATGTCTCTTGAAGGAGTACAGTACTGTTTTTTTTTAAATAATGCTCACAGTTATGCCCAATTCAGAATTCAAATGCAGAAATCAGATTAAAAGTTGTGATTGCCTAAAGTTGTAAGCTTTAGGCAATCAGATCTGGACTACAAACAGACACACCATAGAGCAAAGAAAGTGTTTCATATGTCCTTTTGCAACCATTTGGAGATAATTCTAGATTTTTGCAGCTGAGATCTGGTGGCTACCTGGGTTTAAATCAACCTACGTCTTAATTAATTGGATTTGTATCTGCAGTGCATGTATATCAATTTAATCAACAGAAATTAATGAAAGATTGTACGGAGGCAGAAAGTCCACTGTTTTTCTCTTTTTTTATAGGAACATCATGGACTGCTATGGAAAGTATGCTGTTGTCATTTGTGCCATGTTAGCTATATCTCTGAATATTTTTCAGTCATTGCCAGAGGAAGAGTTTATGGTACAGGGTGAGATGCTTTTAAAATATGAAATAAAAACATATGGAGATTATTGATAGTGCTGATTCTTGTTGTTTAATAATGTAATTATTGTTTTACGCTTTCTAAACTGTTAGGTTGTTTGATTATATTGAAGAAAGAGTGTATGTCTGTATTTATTTAATTTTTTTTATATTATTCAATGTATTTGGCCACCATCTCACCATAGTGACTCTGGACAGCTAATAACAATTAAAAACATAGCATAACAAGAATATGTAACCAGCAAGTGAGATTTAAAAAGAGCCCACAACTATTAACACAAACACTTCACAAGTTCTAACTGACACACTGACTCCCTTGTCTGGGTAGGTCTAAACTTCAGAAGGTTTAATCAAAGTAGATTCCCAATAAATAGGTTCAATTTAAAAATGTTGAATAAATAAACATGTGGAATATATAGCTAATTAAATAAAACACTTTCATCTCTGTACCATAATTACCAACAATTTTGCAGAAGTTGGCATACTTTTCAGGGACTGTTATGCAAACAAAGAGGTTGAAAAATTGATGTTCTTTGATTTATACACTAAAAAAAATAGGCAGTGGTTCATCAGAATACTTTTTAAAGCTTCCACGTTGTAGATTCAGTGAATGAGTATAAAGCACAGAGCTTTCCAATGGTGAGCCTTTTTGTAGTTCACCCAACTACATTATTTAATGAGAAGTTAATGCCTAGTAAAGACTCATCAAAGTTTGATGGATATGGAAAACATTGAGACCATTAATTTTGTAAAACATACTTCAAAATCATGTAGAGAGATCATTAGACTTTATATCCCTTTATCACACAGTACTATAAAGGTGTTTGACCAAAAGATAGATAATAACACCATGAAAAAGCTCAACAAATTTTCTGCATCACTCTTTTCCATGGACATTGTAGGTCAGAAACTTACAATTAAACTTACATTTATGTCCAGGAAATAAATGTACAGAACAGGGTTCTTCAAGGATACAAGGTAAGATCTAGATTGTAGACCTTCCGACCAACAAACTAAAAATGAACAAATCACAGGTCCAGGCGGTATCCATTTTAAGATATTTAAAGCATTGAACTTAATCCAACTAATGACTAATGCATTTATAAAAAAATGTATAACCTATCAATCAGATTAACTTCTTATCATAGCCTCTACTATAACCAATATTTTGTAACATGTTCTTAAATGAATCAGAACTAAAATTAGCAGCCAGATGGCCAAGTAAGTTAATGTTCCAGTATTACAGGACTGATAAAAAGTTAAAGTTTGAAAGCAGAAAATAAACATTCTTAGATTAATAAGAGTGTTCAGGAAATCTATAATGAAATTCATGAACTTCTATAAATGGAAAAGATTAGTCTATGTAAACACATAGGTGCGTGGACATGTTCTAGTGCAAATTAAATATCGATTTATAACCCTGGTTAGGGAACACACACTGGCTTCATTAAATTATATAAAAATATATTTACCATTTTACTAAAGAAGGAAAACTGGTTCCTATGAAGCAGCTTTCCCAACAGTAATACAGCTTGGGAGGAATGAAAACTTATGCTCACCAGTTTATTCCTGATGTGACACATTTCATTCAAACTTTTCTGCTTATTTTATTACGCATTAATCTGTAGATTTCCCTAAGGACACTAAGCTTAGAATGGTTTCTCTGTTTGGAAATAGACTGCCCATGTCTAAAAAGCTGAACGTCTCTGTCCCACGACACAGTTTGAGCTGATTACGATGCAGTTTAACGTTTCATGTTAGCATGTGGTGGAGACCCAAATGGAATCTAGAGCAGGATTTCACCTTTCTTCTGTGTTCTTTTTGTGTGTTTGTTAGATTGTACTGAGTGTAAACTAATCTTGAACACTCGCATGACCAGATTGTTCAGCGGCAGGCCTGTGTACCAATGTGCAGGATGTTGTTTCTCAAGAGCTTATCCAACTCCCATGAGGTCCAAGAAGTCCATGCCCGTGCCAAAGAACATCACTTCAGAAGCGAAATGCTGTGTGGCAAGAGCCTTCAGAGAGGTAAAGGGACTATCCCTAGACAATGTATGGTGGGTTACAATTTTGTTTACTCTTCCTTTTCCGCCTAGTATACAACCAGGAACTGTAACGAAGAGGTTAAAGAGTGCAACAGGAGGGGACCATAAGCAGACGACAAATGAACATGCTTTGTTTTCAATCTGTGTTTGGATATTAGTTCTGGGTTTGTGTTTTCATGTAGGGAAAAACAAGAATTCTGCCAAAATATCAGCTATAAATATTTCATTGGAAGGAATTATTCTGAACATTATGTTTAATGTCTGTTATCAGAGATATGACTTGGGAACATTTATCCAGAATTTCCCTTAATAGAATGAACAGGAGGACTATCGATTGATTCGTAATATTTATATGGCTGCCTCAGTCAAATAAAATGATTCTGGGCAATGTGCAAAAAGTCAACTACAAATACAAACCTCAAAGAAAGTAATACTCTAAATTAGAAGTCAACTAAAATGAGGAGAGAGTTAAATGAAAACCTGGGCCCTGATGCTTTCTGAAAGGGCAGACCTCTCATTGCCAATCCTTATTACTATTGCTTATTGTACTCTATGACTATTATTAAGTGTTGTACCTTATGATTCTTGACTCTTGACGAATGTATCTTTTCTTTTATGTACACTGAGAGCATTTGCACCACGACAAATTCCTTGTTTGTCCAATCACACTTGGCCAGTAAAGAATTCTATTCTATTCCATTATTCCCCATTTCCTATGAAGGAGCAGCATGTATACCATCCTTTTCCCTTCCAGCCAAAATTTGACCAAGTTATACAAAACAGCAAAAAAACAGCATCCAGAAATTAACTGCTCAAGATGAGTGTTATATTCCTGTCTATTGATTCAAGTTCTGTGTCAGCTCAGTACCTCTCCCTTGCTTCCCAGTCCTGGTTGCACAAGACAGCCATTTCATACCAGACTGGCGCAGTGGTGGGATTCAATTTTTTTTACTACCAGTTCTGTGGGCGTGGCTTGATGGGCATGGTGTGGCTTAGTGGGCATGGCTTGGTAGGCACAGCAGGAGAAGGATACTGTAAAATCTCCATTCCCACCCCATTCCAGAGGAAGGGTACTATGAAATCCCCATTCCCTCCCCACCCCACTAACCTGCTTTCCAGCTCCGTTCTCCTGTGCAGGGCAACAAAAGAAGACCGAGCCGATCAGCTGGGACAGGCAGAGAATAGATGGGGGCAGGGCCAGTCAGAGGTCGTATTTGCCAGTTCTCTGAACTACTCAAAATTTCTGCTACTGGTTCTCCGAGCTACTCAAAATTTCTGTTACCGGTTCTCTAGAACTGGTCAGAACCTGCTGAATACCACCTCTGGACTGGTGACTTCTACCCTGGTGACTTCTACCCTGAGAATAATTTTATAATTATTGTGATTACATACATGGGCTTTAATTGGCTGAGGAGGTAAATATATATTGTTCAAGAGATGGAAGCCAAATGTTTCTTTAGATGTCATGGTAATTCTGTAATTCTTCTTCCTCCTGACTTTAGGATTCCATCTACTGCACCTCTTTCTGCTTTGAGGAAAGGTCTTCTACTTTTAACTGCAATGCATTATGTAACTGCACAAACTAATGATTATATATAGAGGGTTTTTTTTTCTTTTTAAGACTCTTTAATCCGAGTCTGAGCGTTTATTGGCTGGATGCCCCTCTTGATGACTACACGCAGTGTTCATGGCAGATATTTTCTTTTTGAACTCTGATAAAGAAACATCTGCCACTGCCTAGGATTGAACTCTGAACCTTCCAAGTGGGAGGCGAGTGTCTTCACCTCTAGACCACCGGGATCTCAATTATTATATAGAATAAATAGGTCATGTAGAGTATAATAACTATAATATTAGCATAGGTAGGAGACCGAAGAAACTTTTGTGCTACTACAGTTTCCAGCAATCCTGTTAAGGTGGTGAGTATTAAAAAGATGTGCTAGGTATTGTGGTTCAACAGCACTTAGGGCTGTAGGTCATCTATCCCCAGCACAGGCAATTATTCCAAGGGTGGCCAGTCTACATAAAGGCTGATGAGAGAAGGTTTAACTTTAAGTGAGAAAATAGTACTTAATCTCATTGTGGCTATTAAAATGCATTTAAATCTGATTTTAAAGTTTGCTTCCCCAGGTTTTCATTCCAAATGATGGAACTAGGAAGATTGAGAATCACACTGACTGTCATTGCAGCACCTGTTACTATCATAAATCTTAATTCCTCTACAACTGGACAACATATTCCTCTGCAGCTGGACAACAGATAGCTCAGAATGAAGTTTTATCATATCATATATTTTTGTTTTCCTTAGATTTGTAGTGAAATCATGTATATTCTTAGGTTTTGTGATATGAATGATCCTTCTGATCAGCATGTTATGAATACCCTGCTGTTCGTTCTCTATGTGTTTTGCCACACATTTGGATAAACAGAAAAATATACCTTTCTTCTGGGAATCAAATATAGAGTTATGCATGATAACCAAAGCCTTGTTTATTTTGTATGTCAGGTATACATTGATATAGGATTATGGTTTTCCAAGAGAAAAGACACAAATAGAGTCAGTGGATATAATTTTTCATCCCAAAATTAATTTCTATGTTTCATGCATTTATTCTTTTTCCCCCCTCTGTAAGACTTCAATGACACAGTTTTAGTGGTGCTAGACATGGAAAATGTTCTCTGATGCAAGGAAACTTGAATTTAATTAAAAGGAAACTTGCATCAATTCTTTTCAAGTTGGTTTTAGAATTAATTTCTCTTAGTGTTGGACTGGATATCCTTTTTAAAAAATATTGTCATTGTATTGAGCTGGCTGGCATGCAAGGAGTCTACATAGCAGTATACTGAATCAATACATAAACACACACACAAATGCTACTATAAAATCTCCATTCCACAATAAAGCAATTACATTCTATAGAAGATCTGAATGGATTGGAGAATCAGATTTCACCACCATCACCACAAGCAGCAAATATCCATATCATATTTCTATGTGTTACAATATTGGGTTATTAAAGGCACTGTCTCTGAGATTGATCTTTTGTGGAGAGTACCAGAGACTTCTAAGGTGTCAACATCTCAGGCTATGATGACATCTGCAGAGTATTATCACCTGAATGAAAGCAAATATACGTTTCCCAGGATAATGTTGAAGGATCGAATCTCGGTCTAGAGCAGGGGTCTCCAAACTTGGCAACTTTAAGACTTGTGGACTTCAACTCTCTCATAGCTGCCTGAGGAATTCTGGGAGTTGAAATCCGTAAGTCTTAAAGCTGCCAAGTTTGGAGACCTCTGATCTAGAGGCTAGAGAGAAGTTCCTTGAAGATGGGCTCCAGCACAAGTCCGAAAGCTCAGAAGACGAAACCTCTGGTCCTGATTACTGACCCAGATTGGATCCTACAGTATTATCACATTTATATAAGATGCTATAACACCCTAGTTTTTATTGACTATTTCTGAAAGGATGGGTCTCGCTCTTCAAGAGTTCTGTGTGAGTCCATCTTCCTTTCCTAGATATTTCCATAGATCTAGTTTATTCAGATTTATCTATCTACAGGTATTCCTCGAGTTACGACCATAATGGAGCCTGCTCATCAGGTTCATGACAGTCTAAAAAGCTAGATTTGTTTTTAAAAGTCCCAGCTTTTTGGAATTGGAATTGGAAGCATCTTTCTGCTTTTCAATCCAAAATGGTGGACAGTTTGGAGTACAGGACACCTGTAATATTGGTTCACATTATTACTTTAACTGGGATGAAAAATATAACATATACATATAAAAGATGATGATGATGATGATGACAGGCAGAAGAAAGTGATGCTGGTCTTGGTCATACATCCACCCTAATTTGTGTTCCCATTATTTTCTTCTTGCTAAAATTAACAGTAGAATCTCAACAAAAACAGAAACGTAACAGGGTTAACACATATTGTTCACTTATTCCAAACTCGATCACATCACGTGACATATCGTGATGTATCACAATGTTATTTTGCCTTTGCAGAGCCGGGGGGAGCATGACCTGCGCATGAAACATCTGGCCCCCAGGCCCCCAGTTTGATACCTGCGACCTATTAGGTCACATAGCTTCCTGATCTAATGCTTGAGAGAAAAGCCACATTTTAAAGCCCTTATGAAGGCCATCAGAATCTTATTTCATTCAGTCTCTTTATTCTGTGGGTACCACTGAATTTGACTGAATTGGGAGGCGGTGAAGTAGACTTTTATTCATTTTTTTAAAATATAATTTTTCATCCAGATTAAACAATAAGTATGCCATTATTGTATATATATTGGGTCCCACCAGGGGTGGGATTCTACCAGTTCGCACCTATTCGCTAGAACCAGTTGTTAATATTCTAAGCAGTTCGGAGAACCGGTTGTTAGAAAAAATTACTGGCCTAATCCTGTAAGTAAGGCAGGAAGGAAACATTCTGGTGTTGCTTACAGAAACTGCCTCTCCATTATTACATTCTTGGCAGGACTAGACTTCCTGTCTCTGGAACTTCTCTGGAGTTTTTTTTCCTCCTTTGCTGGTACTTTCTTGTGTAGAGTGACCATTCAAAGTTACAATGTCACTGAAAAAAGTGACTTATGACCGTTTTTCACATTTACAACTGTTGCAGCATCCCCACAGTCATGAGAGGCCAGGCGAGGAAATGCGTGCCTCTATGTGAGTGATGTTGAGTTGGCCATGCCCAGCTAGTCACATGACCACCAAACCATGCCCACCAACTAAGCCATGCCCACAGATCCGGTTGTTAAAAAATTTGAATCCCACCCCTGGGTCCCACCCCATCTAGGCCATTAATCTTGGGTAATGGTGTTTTTGGTTTTTCTGAAAAGTGCGGGTTGCAGACAATTTTACAAAATACAAACTTTATTTTATTTAGTTAGGAATGGATATAAAAATAAGGTTCTAGAGGAAATTTGGACCTTGTTGCATCAGAGTTTTTAGCCTTACCAGGAGACTGTGAAATCCAGTCCCACTGTAGGCATGAAAGCTGGCTGCATGACTTTAGGCCAGTCACAGGCTACCTCACCTCACAGGGCTGTTGTTGTAAGGAAAATAGGAAGAATGAGCATTAGATATGTTTGCCACCCTGAATTGTTCATAAAAATAATAAAGGTGGGATATAAATAAAGCAAATAAACAATAAATATAACATATCACAGGCACCCTTGTCTGTCATTGTAGTGGAGGTTAGATAGGACAAGCAGAGGGCTTACGGTTTTTCCCCCCACACTTTCCCCTCATCTCAGTTCTACGATGGCTGCTTATCTTTTATTGAAAACCTTTCCTCACAATGGAACTTCCACCTCAGTACCAACTTGCCACTGTGACAGGCTAAAGGCCTGAAAAGTGCTTTCCATTGGAAAACAAAACAAGCCTTCCTCTACGCCAAGGGTCTTCAAACTTGGCAAGTTTAAGACTTGTGGACTTCAACTCCCAGAATTCCTGATCTAACATGACTGGAGGAGGAATTCTGGGAGTTGAAGTCCACCTGTCTTAAAACTGTCAAGTTTGAAGATGCCTGCTCCATGCAAATGTCCACATGGAAGAGGACACTGGGAGGAATTAGCAATTTGCTGAACTCCAGCAGCCTGTTGTGGGACACATCCACCTGCATCCTCTATCTCTCTGGGTTTACTCCTGATTTGTCTGATGGAAAAAACAGTCTTTTTTATTTCCTAGGACAGAGGGGAATGGAAGGGTGGGCGCTTTCCAAGTGACATACTTTCCTCTCTTCTTAAAGATGGGAAGAAAGCCTACCACAGATGGAACGTGGATGACCTTGAACCCAGACTGGTCCATTACAGTAACAAGGCACGGGCGTCCATGGCATCTTCTCTGTCTTCTTTTGTTACATCAGGCAGGCAGGAGAGCGAGACAAAGAACGTGAGACAAGAGGCATTAAGACCTGAACCGTGCTTTTGCTATACATATACGGTATATGGCTTCCTGTAGTTGGATGTCTTCATGAAGGTTTTTTCTAGGGTTTGCAATAAAACTAGTTTATCATTAACCTTAATATCTGACTGCATCGGCTGTAGCTTCAGTATCACTCTGGGAGGCCTGATATTTCCTCTAGATTGTGTGTGTGTGTGTGTGTGTGTGTGAGAGAGAGAGAGAGAGAGAGAGAATTGTACATAAATAATTATAGTTCTTAAATGCCATCATCAATCACTAAATGTTTTGTTTCTGGCATCATTTTAAAAGTGTTCATTCCACTGTTCTGTTTTTTATCTTTTCCTGAATTCCCTATACATTCCTGACAATGAATGGGATTCAGTCAGCCAATACCATATTAATTTCTGGTGAATCAATATTGCTGTCAGATTGATGGTTTTACATCACCATCTAGTGGAGGAACTTGTAACAGAATTTGCACTTATATATGAACGAATAAATAAAAGCTGAGCAATAAATCAACAAGGTGGGGGGGAGGGAAAGAGGAAGAGAAGAAAGAGAGAGAGAGAGAAAATAAAAGAATAAAAGCTAAGTGAAGAGAGGAAATCAGGCTAATCCTCTGTTTATTATACATTTATGTCAGACTTGCAGGGATATCAATGACAGGCTTTCTTGGGAAAATGACAAAACATCCCAGAAGGAAAACTTCTTCTTAAATGCTATGCAGTGCATCAATATCAGTGGGCCTCTGACCCTAAAAAGTCTGTACTTAAATTATCAGAAGCAAATGTAATGAAACTGTATGCATTTTGCCTTACCTATGTTATTTTAACCTTCTCCAATCTCAAGCTTTTATTATGTTTTGAGCTACTAATCCCATAACCTTCAGAAAAATTGCCTCTACATTTCTGGCACAGAAGAGTATTGTAATCATGTGTATTTGCAAACAGGGTCAAGGGGTGAGTGTATGACACAATGTATATGATGTCATTGAAATGCTCATCTGGTAGGAGCATCAGGCACTGGGATGCAAGCATGCAATAGGTATTTGGGTGACGGCAGTCCCATATGCATGTAATATGACAAATTCCTTATATGTCCAATCACACTTGGCCAATAAAGAATTATATAAAGAATTCTATTCTATTCTAATTATTTTTTAGTCATTTATAGCAGGGGCCCCCAACCTGTGGGCTGCAGTCCGCTAGTGAGACATGAAGGGTTTGCAACGGGGTCATGGAAATGGCCGGCGAGCAAATGCACATACAGTCACATCTTCACTTGCGTGGTTAAAGTCAAAAAGGGAAGAATACTTCATGCTCATCCTCTTCTGCAGAAAGAAAAATCAGGCCACAAACACATTGAATAGAACTCATCAGTGGTGATATTCAACCGGTTCTGCCCGGTTCTGGAGAGTCGGTAGCGGCGATGAGCAATGGAGACCAAACCGGTTCTCTTCGCTGCTCTGTGTTTGTCCCATCCGCCCGCCTGGGCTCCCGTGCTCCCATACCCCCTTTTATGGCCAGAATTCAAAGCGCAGCTGCTTTGCGTGGTGCAGAATAGCGCCGCGCAGCAGCTGCTGCAGCGACCAGCATCATGCAGGCTTGCTGGAGGCAAGTTAGAATGCCTCTGCACCTGCACAAAGTGCATGTTTGGCACGCGCGTGCACGCAAAGTGTGCATGCACCCAAAGTGCGGCCACCAAGCCACGCCCATTGAACCGGTGGCAACTTTATTTGAATACCACCACTGGAACTCATACATTGCAACATACCCATCCAAAGATTGCATTAATTCCATTTAACACTTCTACACAAATCATCACAACTGAAATATATTAATGTGGGACATGACAGAGGAATACCATGTGGATGTCATACTAGTTAGCACGTTTTGTTTATTTTGCCTTAAATCCAGGGGTACTTCCTGTGGAGATTTTTTTTTAAACTCTCTACCTTAAAATTAGGTTTAACCACATTGGGGTGCTCTCAATATCATGTGCCCCAAAGTACACACAATCCAGTTTTCTAAAATGAGCTTACATATTCTGGATATCAGTGAAATTATTTCACCTGAGTCAATTCTTTGGAAACTAAATATTATGTTGTTTCCTCTGGATACTCAAAATCTGTACGGGCACATTTTTAATAGAATAAGCTCTTCAAAATCATACCTGAATAGCTCTTGAAAATGTTGCTTACTATCAGTGGCTTTTATTGATTGAAATGGTCAGAAAGGAAGAAGTAATTTCACCCATTATTATAATCACTTTTAAATAAAGTGTTGTTC